AGGCACGAGGTGCCCCCCCATGCCGCCTGCAAGGCAGGCTGTGGCCACACACGAGCCAGAGGCTGACAGAATGAGTTTCAGTAGTAGAGCAGAAATGCTGCAGGGCAAAGAGAGGCGCCAGAACTTAGAGATGCTTTCCAAAGCCGGTATGTCCAGGGAGATATTCAGGGCTGAGGAACTTGATGCTCCTCGATCAAAATCTAGTGACATTTTGATAACCAGCAAGCCAGGGAGCCCTCCACCAGCACCACTTTCTTCGGATAACTTGACCGTCAAGTCCTCACTGACTCATGCTCAGGGCATCTCCAGTGGGGACATGGAGGCCTCCCAGGTGCTGCAGGCCCACTTGGTGGACAGTGGGTTCAGCCCGAGGCGGCGGCTGGGGAATGGGATTTGTCAGCATGCGTTCAAGAGGTGGCAGGATAAGAATTTCCCTCCAGCTGCCAAGAGAGTGAGTCTTCGGGGGACCAACACAGATGAGCTGGGTGGAGGGGACGCCAGGCTGGGGACACCCCAACCCAGAAGGCACAGCGTTCCCACTCGGAACATGGCATTACATGAGGCACACTGGAGGCAGACTGCCCAGGTTTTCAACAAAGAGGGGCAACCTCCTGCTGAAAACATATTCAGGCAAAAAGTGAAGCACTTTTTGCAATGGATTCGTCTTAGGAAAAGAGAAGAAAATTCCCAGGAGAAGGGCAGCTCCATATCAAGCTGTCCGCTTAAAAGTGGAGCTTCCTTTTCTGGGATGTCGGGAGCTCAGAACATCAAGACAGGCACTAGAAAGTCCCAGGAGAGGCTGGGCTATCACGAGACCATTCATTCGCCAGTGATGTGTGGGAGAACGCATCAGAATGCAAAAGTGCAGACCTGCACTGAGCCTATTCAGCGACATCCTCTTAACTACAGGGGTCCCTGCTGTAAAGTGACACACGCCAAGTTCTGCCCCCAAGCTGCTGTCATTGCTGGCCAGACTCATCCTACAAATATTCGATGGGTCAGAGACATGGGCGGACATCCACAGAAAGCTGTGGCACTTGGGGAACAGCTATTGTGTGGGAAGCGTCCCCCACCCCCACATGGTATCTGTATACCATCTAAAAGCCAACTGCAGGCCTCACGTGGGCCACGCTTCTCCAACGTCTCTCACCACTGTGGAAGGGACGGTGATCAGAGAGCTGTGTCAACTACGTAAACAGAAAATTCTCCTGCAAATTTTCCAGCGAGGAAAATTTTGTACCCAAAATAATTATTGTTTATCAGATTGATTATCCCCAATAAATTCTTCTTTAATAGCAAAGTCTTATGTTTCTGGGACTTGGGTTTTGGGTAAATCGGGGCTGTGCTGAAAGCAAGGAGTTAGTTCAGTTCTTACAAATGGCCTCCTTTGGTTTCTCAATGATGACCACTCCCTTGGAACCCTGGCTGAGAAATTAGAATGTGTTTCAGCCCCAACCTCACTCTCCACCTAAGTCTGAGGACATGTGCTCTGCATAGCCCTGATGCAAGCACATAGTATCCCACACCTTCTCCTTCATTGTATGCTCTCTAGTGTTTAGGGATTATGGAAGAGCGGTCTTCCAGATGCAGAGACCTAACAACAAGTGTGTTTGCAAGCAAATCCACAGGAAAGAAGAAAGAACACCTTAATTTTGTTTACAGTCAGTGACCAGAGGTTCCCACGGGTGGTGGGTGAATGCTGAAAGTGGGAGTGTTTGGAGGTGGATGTTTCTAGTGTGGACCAAGGACCTGGATCAGGAGGGCTCATTTTGTTGAACTAGCTGGGGTAGGATCTAGAAACAGTGCAGATGCTGTTTGAGAAGGCTCATGTTCAGCACCGTTAAACCTGCCACTGAGGCTTCTCTGTGGAGAAGGGACCTTGAAGTAGTCGTTTTCTCCCCCTGGTATTTCTTCAACCTGCCAGGAGTCATGACATTTTATGCCATGTGCAAGCATCATGTAATTGTCAGTGGGCTGTTGACAAGTCAGCCCCTTTCCCTCCCAGGGTGAACTGAAAATGAAAGCTAAAAAAAAGATGCTTTAAATGAAGTGGGTAGTAAGAAAAAGAGGGCAAAACAGGATTCTGCTGGTGAAACAGGTTTATGCCTCAATATACCCCATCATCACCATGTCATGATCCGTCCTGCTTCCACTACTCAGTGTGATCCAGGCACCACCTGAGTGGGTCTGGGCCGGGTACTGTGCAGCATCCTGATGACTTTTGGTCATAGAGTTCAGGGTTCTTTCAGTATTAATGCAGTTGTATCTGTAGGGATGTCATCAGCCATGACAACCTCTTCTTTGGAAGGGCATCTACCAAACTGATAAACTCAACAGATCCCACGTGTGTAGTGTGTAGAGTTCACCTATGAGGATGGAGGTAGCACCTTTAATGCACATGTCTCTGGGGGAGTCATGGTAGATCTCGCTCACCACACTTTCAATTCATGAGCCAGCAGTGAGTCTAAGATTTTGCGCCAGAGCTACATTTTCTCTTGGGGACTAACCAAAGACCTCCAGACAATGCTCTTTGGGTCACACTGCACATACACAGACTTACCAGGGTGGATGGCACACCTCTTCTGTTTGACTCAACTTACAAGTGGGTTTTTGAGGAGATGCCAGGCGTTCCACAAGGAATTATCTCATGTGTAGTAAAATGGGAACACAAGCAATGGAACTCATTTCAGTGTCTCTCTTTAGTGTATTCTCTTTCGGTGCCATCAACACCTCCTTCACTCCCTCACACTTATCTCATTTGCTCAAAGATGTGCCGGAGCACCATTCACAGAGAAACCATGGGAGG